GGGGGGGGGGGGACAGCCCTCATGCAGTCACTGACTTTGTTCTCAGAACTCCTGGTCTTCATCATCCTTTCCTCCCTTCAGACAGCAGAGATGCAGCGCCCTTGGGGATGGCGCAGAACAGAGCCCAGAAAACAAAAGGACTGAACGGTGGGCTCTGGGCATAAGCCAAGATTGGAAGGGGTGCCTCTCATCTCCCCCAGGCCAGGAGGGCTAGTCTTCCCGTGGCACGGGGACAGCAGGAACATGGGGTGTGGTCACCCCTCCGTTTGGTTCCCTTGATGGGAGAGGGGAGCATGCGCTCCGGGGGCTGCTGGCTGTGGTCCAGAGGACCCGAGCCTCCTGCCCTCCGTGCAGGCTGGGAAGCCCAGGGAACCTGGTCAGGGTCCCTGTTCCCGGACTGCACGCAGTGGGGATGCAGAGAATGAGGACTCAGTGCCTTAGGCAGCCACACCTGGCCTCACAAGAAGGCACCGATTCTTTCCAGGAGAATTTTCCCATCTTGATTCTTCATTTAATCATATCTGTGAGGTTCTTTTTGCTGCAGAAGGTAACCTATTAACCAGTTCTGGGATTAAGAACTGAGTATCTTTCAGGGGCTGCTATCCAGCCTACCCCGCTATGCATTCTGTTAGTCTGGAAGTTGGAGAAGGAACTTTGCGCTGATTTGGCAAAGTGGATCTGGGACATCAGAGCCCATATTTGAAATACTATGGATTGAAGGGAAAATTAAAATCATCCGTTCTTTCATTATTTTTAATATGAAGTAGCAGTCATAAATACCTGAAAATTGTTCTTGGAACACGAAGGCGATGTGTCCCAGTGCACCAGGATAAGCCAGCCGGGGTCCAGCAGAGGAAGGACTGGGTGTGGCATGAGCCCTGTGGGAGCAGGTGAAATAGCCTGGGCACGGAAGATGCTGAGGCGCGGTCTCTTCGGGGCATCCAGGTCTGGGTGAAGAGGCGGTGCCCACAGGCCCGGCGCCCTGCTGGTCTCCACCACTCATCATGGATGGTGGTGATGCAGGTGTCCCACAGGACACATGGGCGTCCTTTGCCCACAGAACCACCCCACCTGGCCCAGAAGCCAAGGAAGCTGGAGAAGGCCCATGGGAAGGTGGAGGGGCTACGCCACACCAGCACGGAAGTGGGCAGAGAAACAGAACCACACATGGACTCCAGGTCCAGGTCACAAAGCCACAACACCTGCCTCGAGGGGCATGAATGGCTCTCATCTGACCAGCCAGCAGGTTCCTGCAGCTGGAGCGGTTGAGGCTGGGGTGGGAGTGGTGAGCTGAGTCCCAGCCCAGCAGGCCTCCAAAGATCTGTGTTTGAGTATCAGCTTTCTTATAAACCAAGATGAAGAGTGAGATGGATCCTGGTGGCAGTGGGGAGCCAGTAAACCATCGGGTTGCATTGCAGAAAGCTAATGGCTCTGAGCTGGTAGCCGCATGATCGTCCTGGGGTCTCAGCTCTGCGGACTGTACCCACAGTGAGCTCTCAGGCTCCGCACAGGCTTCCTGCCTCCCTGTCTCTACCAGGAGCCTCTTCCCTGGCTGCCCCGCTGCTTTCCTGCCTCCTCTTCAGTGGGCACCGCCCCGGGCATCCTCCCTCCCAGCAGGATGGAAATAACCCCACGGGTGTAGCTAGACTGACCTCTCTGAGGACGGGGGCCTTGTCTGTGTCCCCACTGCCGGGCACCGAGTCTGGTACTGAGAAGGTGCTCAACAGATGTGTATGGATCGACACAAGTTCCAAGAGCTTCTCTCTGCTTATATGATTTTTCATTTTATTAGTGGGTTGGAGGAAGTAAGGCTTCTGGGCACCATCAGGCAGAGAAGCAGCAGATTCCTACATTTGCAGTGAGAGCTGATAGGGGAGTAAAGACTCCAACACCCTTCAGAAAGGCATCTACAGATGCACTCAAGTTATCAAGAGGGAGAGGAACGGGTCCCCTCCTCTGAGGTGCACCCCTGGGCACCGGTGAACCTGCTGCTCTTTGTTAAGAAGTCCTCATGAGCCTCGTAGGGAAGGGCCTCCCCATCACTCTGTCTGCTTGACCAGTCACAGTTATAGAGAGGTTTCAGTTTTTTGATGTACATGCAGTTAAACAGTCTTCGGAAGCTTTGTTTAAAGATGGAGGAAGTCAGCATGTGGGTTATTTCCTTGATAACGTTACTCGTTATCTCTGCCAACTCTCTGGTCACAGGGTCCTCATCCTGCAGCACCTGGTCCACAGCTGTAACAGCAGAAGGGCCGTTAGCTTGGGGCCCTGCTGGGAAGCCCGTCACGGAGCCCTCCCCGCACAGTTTCTCTGTGTCCAGGGGGGTCATGCTCTATCCCCGTCATCCAGGGGGGGTCATGCTCTATCCCCACTGTCCAGAGGGGGTCATGCTCTATCCCCACTGTCCAGGGGGGTCATGCTCTATCCCCGTCATCCAGGGGGGTCATGCTCTATCCCCGCCAGCCCTCATTGCCAGAGAAAGGGACAGATTGACTAGCCAACCCATGTCTAGTGCTAAGCTCTGTCGTGTGCTAAGCATTCTACTGGGTAGCATGTGTATTCATGAAGAGGTCCACCATTGCTCATAATAATGAAAAATTTGAAATCAGTCTAAATGTCTATCAATAGGGACCTGCTTACATATTAGGAATACCATTAAATGAGATAGCGCACGCACATCCGCATGGTGATGGAGGCCCGCATTTCTTGGCATGCAGTGATGTTTCTGGTATATGGTTAGGTGAAAAAAATGTCTAAAACAATATGATGGTTTTAAGAGCAAATGTGAAGTAGCTCA